GCTGCGTTCAGCAGACTCAACAGTTTTGCAACCGTTTTATGATTGTCTGCTGAGATAGGACCATTCTTCTAGATCTAAAAGTATGATCCAATTAGCGCGAAGGAAATTTCCAACAGTTGCAAAACAAACGTTCTGCTGAACGCAGCCAATCATAAAATGATTACAAAACTGTTGAGTCTGCTGAACGCAGCCATGGATAAGATATACATAGCCATATGGAGGGGGGGACTATCGGGTGATATTTCCGAACGCAGCCTAAAGGCTCAATTTCACGCAGCGAGTAAGGCCGGTATTCATAGTCAGTTCTTATATTCAAGACTGTCTTAAGTTCTGTCTTGAAGTGTCATGAACCTATCAGAGAGCCGCATTAGCGTCTTAAGACATTACTTAAGAGGATCTTGAAATAAGAACCGACTATGAATACCGGCCTAAAAGCTGGCGTTTTATCTCCTCTCCATCAATTTTTGCCAAAATGGCGAATCCAGCAAATAAACGCTCAAAGTTCAACACACTCCAACTTTCAACGAATAAAGCTAGCGTTTTGCTCCCACTCCATTAATTTTCGCTAAAATAACGAATCTATTATTTTGACTACTACATCCAACTTTTAACGAATTGAAGCAACGCTAAAATTTAAATTATTTTAATTAAAAATGTATAAGTAAAAGAAGAAATTATGGCTAAAGGATTTAATCAATTGACAGCACCCGAAAATACAAACACAGTTAGTATATACTATATACTATACATATAATAAACAAAATTATAGATTAAACTGCTCTTTGTTTCTTATTTATTTAGGTTAGATAAATTATTTTTGTTATATTATGTTAATAATTATGTTTCTTATGTTGTAGGAAATTCTGTTGCCCTCGTACACATTTTCCAGCGATGAATCTAATGATATTATAACTTCTGATGAACGCAGCAGCAGTGGTCGTGGATCACGTATGTTAATTTATTAATTATTTTCTTATGAAAAGTATTGAAGGGAAATGAAAAATTAAAATTAATATTTGTAAAATTTTATTTTTTAATAAAATTTAAACATTTTTATCTTTTGTTTTCAATTTTTCGCTACTCTATTTAATTTACAAATATAATTAAAATAAAAGTACAAAAAATACAATATCTCTAAATGATTGTAGGTAATCACAAACGTAGTTGCAGTAGTATAGATGATAGCGAAGATGGCACCAATTTTGACAAATTAGTTGATGCTATAAATCGACCATTTAGCATACCACCGTTTGTGCCTCCTATGCCACCACCTTCTGACAAAGCAGCTTTGTATGGTAATCTTGTTGTTGCTCAATTACGAGAAATCAATCCTCAGGCTATGGACGACATAATGCTGCAAGTAATGCAATTGCTTAATAATGCAAAAAAAAAATCCTAATTAAATCTCTGCCGTTTATTTCCTCTACCGATTGACAAAGCAGCTTTATTTAGTTCTACAAATATTAAATAAGTATTAAATAAAGAATAGTTTATAATACATAAGAGTTTATTGTCTAATAAAGTTTGATATATGGAAACTTTTTATAATATTTTTTATAGAAAAAGATTTTTTTAATAAAAAATTATTTGTAATAAAAGAATGTTTATTTATATTTCTTAGTATTTTATCTACTATATAATATTACACAAATTACATTATAAAAATCATTAAAAAAAATTTTATTTAGTTCTATTATACTGCCACGGTACTGCTCCCTCGTTATTAAAATAATAGCAAAATTTATTTCGAACTTCTATATTTTCTTTTGAACTCGTGTTTGATCCGCAGTTTGAGATTTCTCTGAAAGCACATCCATCTTCTATGATAATTCGCCAAGACCCTGGTTGAAAGTCATTTGGATAATGTGGATCATCAACATCGACCATAGATGGATGAACATATGTGTTTAAATCAATGTCTTGTCGGCGAAGTCAATTATGGAGAAATAATTGCCTGAACCATTAGCTTTGCATTCTCAGGACTGGCGATAATTGGTTTTCTATATATTTTCCATTGACTGGCGATTATACCGAATGTGTTTTCTATTATTCGTCTTGCACGACTTAAACGATAATTATATATATCTTGTTCTGGTGTAAGTCCACCTTTTCCCGGATACGGACGAAGTAAATACGATTTTAAAGGAAAGGCTTCGTCTCCTACAAGACAATATGGTAAAATAGGTCCTCCTTCCTTAATTGCTGCTGGCTATGGGATATTCATTCGACCTTCTTCAAATGCTTTTCTTATAGCACTGTCCTAAAAAATACCGCCATCACTTCTTCGGCCATAAGCCCCAATATCCACACAACGGATAATGTAATTTGCGTCGCAAAAGCCATGAGTACTATACTGTGACTATTTTTATAATTAAAAAACGCTGATCCAGCATTATTGGGACACTAAAAATCAGAAGGATTATTTTTAATTGTACTACTTTTTAAGTTGTATTATACACTAACAATGAATTTACACACTTGAATAATAACGTGCTTGCCATCTATGGCTCCAATACAGTGAATAAAATTCCATTTTTCATTGAAATCATTGACGATATCTGACCACTCTTTTTCTTCAAGTTGGCTTGGAAGAACCAAAGGGCACAAATAATCTCAAATTGGTGTTTTGCAAGTTTCATGTATTATAGTACTCACTGTTGTCACTCCCACAAGATATTGATAGGACATTGAAGTCATCGAATCTCCGGAAGCAAGATATCTACAATATTTTATATAATATTCACATATGTATATGCATTAAGTAAAAATGTATAACATTAAGTTTGTTTGTGTCGCATGCTCCAATATACTTCTACTCCAACGTGCTCTAATACGTTTACCTCAAACAAACCTATTGTTTCATATATACACTAAAAAAATACAAAATTTAATTTGGCTGAGCAAAACAAACCTCAAGGTTAATGCTAATCGTTCTGGTGGTGAAATAGATTGTCGAATAAAGTCATGCCTTTGCAATTTGCATCCGATCATTCCTAATAATTCCTCCAATTGAGTTGCAGTCATTCGAAAGTAATTGTGGAAGCGTATGTTCTCCAATATCAATTTCGGAACCGATGTAAAGAAGAAACTGTGTTCGTTACGATTTTCGAAAATTGGAGCTACCCAAAATCTTTTCTTCTTATATCTTTTTCTTTTTTTTTTTTAACAAACACATCGCAGCAACTGCAGCAGCTATATGTCGTCTTCTAATTTGAGCTATGACCGCCACTGTATGTCTATAATATTTTATATACTCGATGTATTGATTATAATATTCCAACTCCATTTTATTCTTGTTTTTTTTCTTGCCCTTCGGATTGAGGGAAAATACACGTCTTCGATCCTAACCTTTGGATCATATAACGCAAAGAAAATCCAATTTACAACCAAATCCATAAACTACAGATGAAACTTAATCTTATCTTCCCCATACAACAATAACACTTAAATAATTCTATTCGTTTTCTTTATATAATTAAAAATGACTCTTAACGTTGGCCAATTCTCCGATTTAATGAGCTCAAACACATCAACGTGATGAAAAACTCTTCTTAACCTTAATTCCTGATCTAACCTAACTCTCAACTCATCATATTTGCTGCATTGCCATATGAAATGATCCAAGCTCTCTCTCTCATTACCACACTCACATCGCTCATTATCAACGTAATTCTTCCTATGCAGAGAAACACCTAAATTATAATGATTAGATCTAATCCTATTTACAAAAGTAACAAAATAACGTTCCTCATTCATCTTATAAAACCAAGGTTTAGTTTTATTGATATCATAATAATTTTCAAAATAAAATTTTCCTTTAAACTGTGCCTCCCTTATTAGAGTTTCTTGCGTATAGTTCCATGTTTCCATCTTAAATACTCTTCTTAAATCCTATATCGGTACATATATACTCTTATCCTTTTCTTCAGATGCAGCTTCCTTGGCCAATTCATCCGCCACTTCATTTCCTAAAATGTCAATATGTGAAGGCACCCACACAAAAACTATCTTAATATTATATTTCCTCTTGAGTCTATAATGTAAATTTCTAATTTCCGTAACATAACAATTCTTATAGACACTTAGGTGGTCTTGATGGTCTCCAAAACAGATTTACAATCAGAAAAAACAATCAGATCCGTACAATGGTCCGAATTCCGATTTATAATAATCTCTAGTGCAGTCTTGATAGCAAAGGCCTCAGCAGTAAATGACGAACAAAGACTATTCAAACTAACTTTATATCCATAATCGTTATCCTCAAAAACAATACTGGCTCCAGTAGATCTAGATTGTTCTCCTCTTGATCCGTCTGTATATATGATGAAAGAATCTCGCTCAAGATCATATAGCTCTGTGATTACCTGAATCATCTTCATATCAGAAAAACCTTTTTCAAACTTTCTTCTCATTCCAACCATTATATCAATTTCTATCTTCTCTGTAAGTGCATCATATGGGTTGTGACGTTGCAGTTTCGCTGCAGCGTCGCAGCGACCCTTGCCGTCACAAAGCGCGGATTCGCGCCTGACCCAAGCCGGGACGCGCGAGCGAGCGAAATCTCCAGGGAGCCGTAAATTAGCGTTAAGATACTTTTTTTTTAATCCCCGGCGAATTTATTTCATGTATAACCCTCACGAAAACCTCGCCGAGCGAAGAGACCACCGGAGGGAAGATCGCCATGGAAGAATCTCGCGGGCCGGAGAACGGCGGAGAGGGGCTGGCGAACGCTTCCGGCCAATGGAAGGAAACAGCTGCCACCCCCGCAAGCGGGTTTGGCGGCGCCCGAGCCCCAGGATGGTGCGAGGGACGTACGACGAGCGGGAAAGGATCCCGAGGATCCCAGCCAGCCAAATTACGTCCAGCGAGCCGCGGGAGCTAACGTGGGGGCAGAGCGCCCGGCCACGATATCGGCACGGCCGACCGGAACGAACAGCAAGGGAGGCCCTCCCGAAGATTTTTCGGGGCCGCAAGGCGCCCCGTAACGAGTCGCCGCGCACGTCCTTGCGCGCGAAGGACCGCTAGCCCGCTAATTGGTCGCGGTAACGCGCGACGCGGCTGCGCAACCCCGTAAGGGGGGAGCTCGCGGATTGATCGCGCATCGATCGCGATCCTACTCGTCCTCTTCCGCTCCGAGCTACCGACAACGCGAGACGTCCCGGCCCGGCGAGAGTTTCGAGGACGAGCGAGAGGCCCCGAGTCAGAGGATCG